CCCGACATATCAAATAAATGAACTTCAACTGCTTACTAACTTGAAGTTTCAAGAGTCTGAAAAGCTTATCCATCAACATGCAGTAGTCTTCATGTTTCAACAAACAACCACGCATCTAAATAGCATCAAACACTGCTGACCTCCACCCAGTAAGCTTATGTTCTTATGAAACGCCTCAAACTTCCAGCGGTCCCCGTAGGAGATACCCGATGGGCCTGCGGAGACTAATCGATTGATTTCAATTATCAATTCTGCAAAAGATTAAAATTTTGTGTAACATAATTAGTACCAACCATTAACGATTAGAAGAGAGAGGAAGGGGATCGTGGGTTCTACTTCGTCAGGAGAAAGAAACCTCACCGGGAAGACTGGAATGGAACCGTCGAGACACTGGATGCTTCCGATTCCTGAGTGCGGTCAATTGGCAGTGTAGAACCATCTCCAACCATCTACTTCTAGGGATTTTGTTGGGAATTAGAAATAGGATCTCAGAACTCGATTTTGTGCACGAACAAAGAGATGGAGTTTGAGAGTTATTTCTCAAACAAAGAAAGGGATGGAGATTGGTAGATGGGTTGTGCTTCTTTGTCTAAGCAGAGGAGATATGAGAGGAAAGGAATTCAGTGCTTCTACGATTGGGTTGGACGGAAAGAAGTGAGAGGAGATGATAGGTCGCACGAAAAGCAGAAAGAGGAGAGAGAACCCAATCAAGTACGGGCAATTATAGTGACCTCGGGCTGGCAAGGAATCGAAACGGTCATTATTAGATAGTACACAGAGGTGAACCCGGGCTTATCAAAACCCGCCCGCAGCAAATTCTCGAAATCCCATTGTGAACAGTAAATGCGTTTTTTTGTGAGGAACAGTGCCAGCGTTTTTGGCTGCTTGCGCTTTTAATAAATTAATAATTATTGAAGACCACATTTGTGAGTTGTTAGCATTTTGATAGTATAAAGGCCCAATTTTGATAGTACATAACGAATTTTGGAGAAAATAAACCACACAAGTTAGGAGGCTCTCCTGCTAGGCGCAGAACGGCCGTATTAGGGTTTTTTGTTGGTAATTGATTGTCTTTCATTAACCGCAACAAGTGTTTAAATAGAGGGTTACAACGGAATCCGAAACCCAACAAGTGTTTTAGGTAGAAAAACATAGTAGGATATAGAGAAATTATACATATTTAAACAAAAAAAAAACATAAATATAATATTACCATCTTTGTTACAAACTCCTTCATTCAAAAGGCACGCGATTATATGAAACTGGAATAAGATGGAGAGCATATTGTTTCCTTAGTGTCATTCCAAAGCATTCTGTCATGTCAATGCTTTTCTGTCCAGCGGGAAGTACCCAATCAAAATGGAAAAGCAAATTTGCTAGAGTAAGTTTCACAATGGCCATTCCAAAAGAAACTCCAGGACACATCCTTCTTCCAGCACCAAATGGAATGAATTGAAAATCGGTTCCCTTATAATCGATTGAGTAGTCCATAAATCTTTCCGGAAGGAATCTCTCTGCCTCTTTCCAGTAACGAGGATCTCGATTGATCGCCCAGACGTTCACGATAACTTTGGTGTTGATTGGGACCTCATATGAACTGAGTTCCACCTTTTGATTTCCATTTTCTCTTGGAAGAAGCAAAGGACCTGGTGGGTGTAATCTTAAACTCTCGGCGATTACCATATCCAAATAATTCAATTGATCAAGACTTGCTTCGTCGATATGGTTTTGCCCATCATCACCATATACTTGTCTAACCTCCTCTTGTGCCATTTGTAGAACCCTCGAATTATTTATCATTTCTGACATGGTCCACTCTATTGTTGTAGCTGATGTTTCAATTCCAGCTAGAAATAGCTCCTAATTAATAAAGTCAATATATATTGTGAGAATCATAAACAAGTCAATAATTATATATAAAAAAAAATGCAAAGAAAACAACAATAGTAACCTCATTCATTCCCGTACGTATATATATATATGTGTTATATGTACTCACCAAAGTTATAGCTTTTACGACCTCCATTGTGATGGGAGGAGCTCCAAGATCCACCTGCTTCTCTTGAAGATTCAGAAGGACATCAACCAGATCCTCTTTATATGATCCATGGCGATCATCTTTGGTCGTTGCCGCCCTTGTTCTTCTCGATTTATGCTCATCGATTATTTGATCAAGTACCGAATCCGATGCCTTGCTCATCTTCTCTAGCTTAGCTTTGAGCCCGGTGAGGGCAGGCAAGAAGGTGAGGGAAGGATAGAGATCAGTGATCCTGAAACCTCCAAGAAGATCTGAAATATTATCGACAACCACCATAAAATTAGCAGCGTCGGTTAGCTCCTGCGCTTTACCGAATGCTGCCCTTGTAGTTATGGCGCTCGTCACAGTAGATGCCATCCGAGTGAGATCCACACTAGTCTCCCCTGCAGCTGCTGCAGTAAGAGAGGCCACGAGATTGGCCACCGCTTCTTCCCTGATGCGACGAAAAGACTGGACTCTTCTGGCGCTGAAGAGCTCGAGCGTGCAGAGCTTGCGCATCTGCCTCCAGTGATCTCCGTAGGGCGCGAAACCTATGCCCTTGCGACCATAGAAGAGCTTGTCGGTGACCAGGAGGTAAGGCCTCGAAGCGAAAGCTACGTCGTGGGTCTTCATCACCAGTTTGGCGGCTTCAGGAGTTGAGATTACGATGTAAGAGAGCTCCCCAAGCTGAAGGCTCATCACGTCGGGGCCGTGTTTCCCGGCCAGGTCCCTGAGTCGCCGGTGGGGGAGGTCGCCGGGCATCTGGTGGATGTTTCCTATGATGGGAAGCTTTTTTGGCCCCGGCGGCAGGTTTAAAGCAGCGGCGGCAGTTTTGGATAGCTTCTTCTGCTTAATTAGGATGAATAAGGTGACTACAAGAAGAATGGTTGCAAGTGTGATGAGCTGGAAGGGGAGGGTATCGGAGGAGGAAAAGCAAGATATCATCTTTTGCTGGAAATATGGATCCATGGTAATGATGGAAGTGCGATCCAAAATAGAAAACATGCAACGACTACTATATATATTACATCGCGCTTGGTCGAGTTATATATATTCACGAATTCAACCTGTCCCAATTATATAATTTTGTTAGGGAGGCTGCAGAAATTGACCAAAACTCAGACCCCAATTATATAATTTTGTTAGGGAGGCTGAAATTGACCAAATATCAACGGATCTCAAAGATCACATGTGCATATATGCCAAATAATTACTGAGTGCTAAGTAAGCCTGTTTCACCCACTTTTAATTTTATAAAATCTATCATAAATATTATTTTTGTACTATTTTGTTACTAATCGTATTATTTTAACGTAAAATTCAATAAAATATAATATGATAATAAAAATTTTCCCCCGCCGATTTTGAATTCTTCCCGTTCTCGCTCCACTAATTGGCTACCTAAAGTGTGATCATCTAATGGCCGCTCAGCGCTCAACACGCGCGCTCCGGCTGCTGGACTCTCATGCAAAAGCCGGATTGGTGACACACACAAATTTATTTAGCACACAGATCCAAACAGCTAGCGTCAAATTTAGACAACGAGTGCACACAATTACCGTCGCTAGCCGTCGTCATAGCCCTGCCCCGCGTCCCCACTGCCGCCTTCGTCTTTCCACTCCTAGTCCAGTAATCGTCGACCGTCGTCAGTCATCTCGCCATCGTCGGTTGTCACCATCGTCGCACCATCTGCCTTCGTCCTCCCTCTCCCCACAATTCCGCCAGTTTCGGCTAACTGCAACCCTAAATCGAAACCGTCGGTTGCGGTTTGCGGCTAACCGAAGGGTCTGTCGGTCTCGACTTCGGTTGCCGACGATGGGCTGATCTCGGTCGCGGTTAACCGCGTTTGCGGTTCGGTTAAAACCGAAACAACACCGCTAACAGGCCTAACCACCATCACTTGCGAGATGCTTCTCAAAATAGAGTTGCAAGCACTAATTACCATAGTAAAACGGATATTCAGCATGATTTGTGAAGGCATAATATAAATGGTACGTATGATATGCAAAGATGAGGTTATTATGTGTACTAGGTAGAACTGATAATATGCTGCTTATTATATATTATTGTTCATGTAAAACTAAAATTGAAATTGTATTTAACTAATGGTATATAGATATTAGATTATATTGTATTGATTAATATTAATTGGATTGCATATAAGCGCTTTTTACGGTCCAACCGCCAGTGCTACTAACATCAGTGAGCTCTTGAGTGATGATTCAAGTAGAGATGGAAACAGATCGGATTGATCATGTTTCTCGAAACCTAAATTCAACTCTACGGATAACTTCTGGTACATGGTTTTAACATGGAGGTGTACATATGGATGATCAACTTTGATGCTCAACTTATGTCGAGTTGGACCTCCATTTCGTCGTTCGTTATTTTCTTTTGATGAGCCAGTTCACCCCTTGTTGCTTTCATTCCTCATGTGCCAATTTTATCTTATTTGCTTACTTGTTTGGTATGTCTGTAATGCTTGGAGTAAAACATCTTATTGTAGTTGTGAAACCCGACTAACTATCCTGTGTGACGATTCCCTACCCTCCACTATTCAAACATGTTTCAACCTTCACCTTTCTTGTTTTAGTTCATGAATTTTTAGTTGGAACCGACTGAAAGCCAAAAATGTATTGCAATCTGACACTTTATTTATTGATGAATGGAGAATATACACACACAAACTAGCCAAGGGAATCGGCCTTAACAAACAACCCCAATCCCACTCTCCTGCAGATCTGCAACAAGACTAACTAACAGCTGAAAACTAGCTCAAGCTGTTTGACAACGGTCAGTGACTAATTTAACCAAACCAAAAAGACTAAGTACTAAACTGGAAACCATCAACATCATAATCAATGTCGGAATCAGCATCATATGGATCATTATTATTAAATATTCAAATCACCTTGGTCCTTGCTGATCATTATTATGAAATATGCTAGAATAAGCACACAAATCTAGCACTTTATTGAAGACCACATGCATGCTCCTCAGACACTAATGGAGACGGACGGGTTCCTTGAGGATGGAGACGACATGGTCCTTGAGCAAATATGAGTCGGTGTAGGTGTCAGCGTCCTTGTAGATCACATCAATCGCCCTCGTCAAGTTCAGAATCCGATCCAGCAGCGGCGCAGCCACCGCCGTCGGCCTCATGAACTCCTTGTTTATGTCCTTCCACGCATCAGCAACTCGCTCCCTGAAAAGCTCCACCACCACCGCCTCCTCCGCCACCTTGTGTTTCTCCATGTAACATTCGATGGCCGACGGGATGTGATTCCTTTCTTGCTCCAACTGCAATAAAATAGTAAACATTTCATACCACAACATATATATAATTACTACTGATGGAGAGACGACCAAACCGGCATGACTTTGAAATCTTGAATCAGATTATTAATTTAATTGGAAGAAGTTATATATTGTTCCGAAAAACTTATTTTTAGCAGATTGAATTGAGGTGAGGTTATGTCGTTTTGAGAAATACTATATATACTTCTCAATCTCTTTGTAATCTCATCAAATATAATGGAATTAACTCGATCTCACCTGCCCAGTACACTAACTTAAACCACATACATTGTATTAGGGAACCCTATGTGTGTGTGTGTGTTTTTTTTTAATTATTTTCTTCCATTGCTGGATTATATAACATCACAATTCGATCGTTCCTAGCTAACACAAAGCAAAGCTGAAACCATGCATGCACGAACCTTGTGAGAGACGATGTCATCCATTAGCCTGCAGACGGTTGAGGAGGCGACGAGCATCTGAGGTTCACCGGAGATCCACTGAAAGGCCTCTTCTGTGGCGGCGTCGGCTCCAGCCATGCCGATGAAGGAAACCGCAGCGAGCAAGGAATAGCAGGTGCTTCCCAGTGAAACTTGCATGTACTCTTCTAGCTTCGGGAAGTAGTTTGCATCCCTCCACCTGGCCTCCATTAGGAACGCCTTGAGGGCATTGTCTAGCTGGAGATCGTACGTGAAAATATAGCTAGTTAATTAGGTAGTTATATAGCTAGATAGCCGGGTTCGAATCCCTTACCCAGAAACAACAAAAAAAAAAAAAAAAAAAAAAATTTAAAAAAAAGTATATGATATATATAACCTACGTACATACTTCTCTTTTAACGTAGCGTACACCGAAAGACCTTCCTTCTCCTGAAACCGCCTGTTCGAATTCATCGAAAATGTACACAAATAAGCCATAGAGCATCTTGATGGACCCTGGAAGTCCACTTATGAGATTGATGTCCCACCTGCAACCAATTACGAGTTGCCACATGCATGAAACAAACATGGACCTCTCCCAACCAACAACTCACTCGAATTATTGAGGCAAATTCGATTCTTGACGGTCGCAAACTAGTTAACCATTATTACGTACCTCTCAATTGCCTGTGTGAGAACTTCCAGCTGTTCAGCCGTAGCATAGTTATCGTAAGTATCGTCCGTTAGAGACATGATTGCTATGAACTTGGTGAGCAGCCTCCTAGCCAGGCGATACTTAGGCTCGAAGTACACTCCCATGATCCAAAAGTAACACTCCACAATTCTGTCTCGCGCATACGGAAAGTTGGTCGTCACGTCCAAACTTCCCCACCACCTTAATAAACATATATAACAGAATTTGGTCCATGCATATATAATCAGCTTTAGGAATTAATATTGCTACTGAACTGATGAATTGTATATGTTAAAAAAATCAAAAATATTTTCCATGGACTTACTCCTGGATCCCACGTAGCTCCTCCTGATGCTGCTGCTGGACGATGTTGAAGTCCAACTGCGCGAGCCTCAACAGCGAACCGTCGTGAGACTGGTTCGCTTGGTAGGTATCGATGAAACGCCTCGCCTCTACCCTTTGTAAGCGCTTTCGGATGGGTCTGTTCAGGGCAAAGCTTACTTCTTCTGCCAGCTTCGTCGAGCTCGTAATCTCCGCCGCCGATGATGATGATGAGCCGATTAGGTTTTGGGTAGTGAAGGCCAGTGCCTGGTCCAAGACATCTTCTCCCGGTATGGCCAAAAACGATGCTTCGTACAAGCTCAGCATTGCTGGCACGTCAGAGACCCATGAGGACTTGAAGTTCCCTTCTCCATCCTTGAAATGCTCCAAAATGTCTGCGCGCCACGATTCACGTACATCATCAGGGTGTACGTACATACCCAACAGTACTCAACTTGTTAGCATGATGCTAATACGTACTAAATAGCTCCAACCAATATGAATATTTTTATTTGTAACTACGTACGTACGTACGACTTTAGAACCACCAATTTTAATTACCTGGGGAGACATGAAAGCCCTGTTGTCTGAGGAGACGGAACCAGAGGGCAGCTGAGTTGAGATCATTAGCAACGGATTCGGAAACGGGAGACGACGACATCATCATGTTCGATAACTCAGCTTCGATCTCACTCTCGAAGTGGTAACCCAGACCTAAGCGCTGAACAGCGTCAATTAATCGCAATTTCTGACAAGCTTGATCGACTGTTGCAGCAGTAGAGTTCAACATCTTTCTTACTTGTTTTTTCAACTCTTCATGTTGAAGTTCAACCGTTGATGCATGCTCACACTGGAGGAAGAAGCGTAAAATCGTTATTGGAAAGTTATAACAAACATATATAAACAACGATTAAAGCGACGACGTAACTGTTATTGGCAACGGATCAAAAGGTCTCATGCATGCACTATGGGTACGTAGCAGCAGTGATCAGTTAGTTTAATTTAATTATATTTAGAGCTAATTAAGAAGAACTTAATTATATTAACGAACCTTGAGGGTGAGGAAATCATGATCAACCCACAAAGTGGGAAGATAAGTAGCAGCCGCAGCCGCAGGCCCAAACGCCGGCGGTGCTGTTCCTTGTTTAGGAGCTCCCGCAGAGGCGATCAACTGTGGCACAGACGACATAGCTAGGTTCCGGCGATACTCTGGATGCTGCAGCAGTGGAGCTAATATAATCGCTGATCGATATTTGCGGTATTTAATTTGTTGTATTTATAGAGGCCAGGCACAGGCAGTTCACCCAAACCCCATGTTTAATTTCATTATTTCTATATATGTATATAGATTAATTATCGACTAGTCCACGTGAACCTCTCCCAATTATATAATTTTGTTAGGGTGGCTGAAATTGACTAAAAATCAGAACCCAATTTTTTAATTTTCTTAGGGGGGCTGAAATTTACTAAAAATCAGAACCCGGCCAATTATATAATTTTGTTAGGGAGGCTGAAATTGACCACAATCAATCAGACCCCAAATATATAATTTTGTTATATTTCAAAATCCCCAAATTTTAACGTTATCTCATACATGTGCATATATTGCCAATTAAGTGCTACTTATTAATTCATGGCAATTAATAAACTTATTATTATAGTACCCTAGTTCTCCTCGAGATTCTGTTCTGTGCTGTTCTGAGGCGGGCTGGATTGGAATTAATTAATATATAAGCAAACCCGGTGTAGCATGCACATGTACATGTTACTTGCAGATTGAATCCAATTAAAGAAGAATAATAATTTCTGGTGTATCAGCAAAACGTTTTCTTCTTTTCCATATGCTGACTATTATTATATTTATTCTTTTGTATTGAATTTGAACCGGTATTATATTGAGTCTAATTTAATTCCGTTTCCATATTGAATTTGATCCATTTTTTCAGTATTCATAAATAATCTTCTTACAATAGATAACATCCGAGTGAGATCCACAACCCATAGACTTCCCCGCAGCCGCAAAACGAGTGAGAGATCAAGCCACGAGATTGGACACCTCTTCTTCCCTGACGCGACACAAAGATATATTGAACTCGTTTGGCCCGGAAGAGCTCCAGTACTGTACAGATCCTGCGCATCTGCCTCTAGTGATATCCATAGAGCGTAAAATCTATGTCATTGCAACAATAGTAGATCGATTATGTCTTGGGCGAGGAGATAAGGCCTTTGAAGCGAAAGTTACGTAGTGGGTTTTCATCACTAGTTTGGCGGATTGAATTGAGGTGAGGTTATGTCGTTTTGAGAAATACTATATATACTTCTCAATCTCTTTGTAATCTCATCAAATATAATGGAATTAACTCGATCTCACCTGCCCAGTACACTAACTTAAACCACATACATTGTATTAGGGAACCCTATGTGTGTGTGTGTGTTTTTTTTTAATTATTTTCTTCCATTGCTGGATTATATAACATCACAATTCGATCGTTCCTAGCTAACACAAAGCAAAGCTGAAACCATGCATGCACGAACCTTGTGAGAGACGATGTCATCCATTAGCCTGCAGACGGTTGAGGAGGCGACGAGCATCTGAGGTTCACCGGAGATCCACTGAAAGGCCTCTTCTGTGGCGGCGTCGGCTCCAGCCATGCCGATGAAGGAAACCGCAGCGAGCAAGGAATAGCAGGTGCTTCCCAGTGAAACTTGCATGTACTCTTCTAGCTTCGGGAAGTAGTTTGCATCCCTCCACCTGGCCTCCATTAGGAACGCCTTGAGGGCATTGTCTAGCTGGAGATCGTACGTGAAAATATAGCTAGTTAATTAGGTAGTTATATAGCTAGATAGCCGGGTTCGAATCCCTTACCCAGAAACAACAAAAAAAAAAAAAAAAAAAAAATTTAAAAAAAAGTATATGATATATATAACCTACGTACATACTTCTCTTTTAACGTAGCGTACACCGAAAGACCTTCCTTCTCCTGAAACCGCCTGTTCGAATTCATCGAAAATGTACACAAATAAGCCATAGAGCATCTTGATGGACCCTGGAAGTCCACTTATGAGATTGATGTCCCACCTGCAACCAATTACGAGTTGCCACATGCATGAAACAAACATGGACCTCTCCCAACCAACAACTCACTCGAATTATTGAGGCAAATTCGATTCTTGACGGTCGCAAACTAGTTAACCATTATTACGTACCTCTCAATTGCCTGTGTGAGAACTTCCAGCTGTTCAGCCGTAGCATAGTTATCGTAAGTATCGTCCGTTAGAGACATGATTGCTATGAACTTGGTGAGCAACCTCCTAGCCAGGCGATACTTAGGCTCGAAGTACACTCCCATGATCCAAAAGTAACACTCCACAATTCTGTCTCGCGCATACGGAAAGTTGGTCGTCACGTCCAAACTTCCCCACCACCTTAATAAACATATATAACAGAATTTGGTCCATGCATATATAATCAGCTTTAGGAATTAATATTGCTACTGAACTGATGAATTGTATATGTTAAAAAAATCAAAAATATTTTCCATGGACTTACTCCTGGATCCCACGTAGCTCCTCCTGATGCTGCTGCTGGACGATGTTGAAGTCCAACTGCGCGAGCCTCAACAGCGAACCGTCGTGAGACTGGTTCGCTTGGTAGGTATCGATGAAACGCCTCGCCTCTACCCTTTGTAAGCGCTTTCGGATGGGTCTGTTCAGGGCAAAGCTTACTTCTTCTGCCAGCTTCGTCGAGCTCGTAATCTCCGCCGCCGATGATGATGATGAGCCGATTAGGTTTTGGGTAGTGAAGGTGTTGGAAATGTGTATGAATAGCTTTGAAAGCTATAGAGACTCAAGTGGAAAAACTACCACATTGGTAGTTTTACTTAGTGAAATGAGTATAAAGATAGGAGCCTCTCTCCTAAGGGCATGCCCCTTGGGGTGACCCACTTTTGTGGGAGAGGGAGGACCGAACGGACCACCACACACGCGCGCGCGCCGTCCGACCCACCGGTTGGTTGGTTGGTTGGATCACTTGAGACTATATACATATTTTTTTGAGAAATTCCGAACGAAATTAATTATCTTCCTTAATTAATCCGACTTATTCCCCAAGCAAGAGGGTATATTCCTAGGGGTTCGGCTCCTATAAATAGCCGCCTCCCCAGCCCCTCTAAACACACCACAACGAGCATAAACACAATAGAGAGAGTGTTCAGAAAGCTCCGGTTTTCGCACAAAACCGCGACTGCACAGAGGAGCTGTTTTATCCTGGAGACGACCGGTTGATAGTCTGCCGTGCGCATCGAGGGCAGTGCCGCGAACGTCTTAAAGAAAGCGACCTAGTCCGCGACTCAGCTCCAGATTCGGTATCCTCATCTTGTTGTTGTTCCGTTTCTAACAATTTTAAGACGTTCGGCTGCTGCTATGTCGACTGAACAGAACAACATGGCCGGATCTGGTGCTGTCGATATCAATCGACCGTTTCGCTTTGTTGGAGTCAACTTTCGTCGCTGGAAACAAAAGATGGAGTTTTACCTGACGACCAAGAAGTTGGCACACTGCCTCACTAGCCTGCCCGTCGAGCTGCCGGAAGAAGCGACCGATGAGGAGAGGACTGCTGCTGCTAAGGAAAGGGAGCATGACTTCCTATGCAAGGGCTACATCCTCAACGGCCTGGCAGACGACCTCTACGACTACTATGCGGACAGCAAGAACACCGCAATGATGGTCTAGGATGCGCTCCAAAAGAAGTACGACACAGAGGAGGATGGAGCTAAGAAGTACGCTGTCAGCCGCTACCTGCGCTACCAGATGGTGGATGACACGCCAAAACACAACACCTAACAATGGCCAAGTGTAACCAATGAAAGGGACTGCAGTATAGTGGCACAAGTAATAAATATCGAATCCACGGGTCTCTAGAGTTACTATTACTCAGCTTCAGTTCATTATCTAGCAGACTAGATTAAGAATTGATTGATAAACTACTCTACTGACTACTCTACTAATTACAAGTTGGGAACTCACTTAGATATGATTCCCCCTAGCTCCTCAATTAGGTCCAAGTTGCAATTACCTTTGGTTGATCTACTGTTGATTAAACTGCGGAAGATCCTAAATTAGCTTGGAATCTCTTAAGCTGACCAAGCCCTCTCAGACAGAATACCCGGCAGGCGACTAGCCTTCACCGGGATAGACTGCTAAGGCGATTCACACAGATCTCCACTACTGGAATGAATTCCAGTACAAAGCAGTGACTTGATTGACTCTCGCACAACCAATTCACCACTATCAATCAAGGAAGCTCTCTTAACCTAATCAGATTCTATCTATCATAGGTTAAAGCAGAAATCAAGAGAATTTGATCAAGATTCAATTGACTCAATAAATCATGCCTCAATCGATTATAATCAAACAATATAGCATCCAAAACTTCATACAAGAAAGATCCTAACTCATGGAACTAGGGTTCCTCAAAACCTAAGTGAAGGGAAGTTACTCCATAGAGAAGAGAGAGACTGCAGAAATCTGATCTAGATCTTCAATCTCCATCTCCAAGCTTGATTCCCGAGCTCCAATGGCGAAGAAATCCTCCAAAATAGCTCCAAGAATGTTCCCAAGTCGCTCTCTCTCTCTAGGGTTCGTCCCTTGGGTGTTTGGGATCCAAAACCCCAGCTCTCCCTTTCCTTTGGCTCGAATCTGCCTCAAAAACCCGATTCTGGGCGAATTACGGGCTGAATTACGGTCGTAATTCTTCCATGCCCGTAATTTTCCCAAAACACGCGTTTTGGTTATGTTTCAGCGCACCCAAAGCTCCTCTCGGCAGTGAAATTACGGGCATGGGAGGCCAAATTACGGTCGTAATTCTCCTGCCCGTAATTCTTCCTCCTCTCCTGTTCAAAGCTTCGTTTCTCCCTCGTCCGGACTCCAAATCAGTCGCCGTTTGAACCCAGATGCTCGTAGTCTCATCCTCTTTCTTTTCATAACAAGCTTGCCTGATTATTTGTCCATAAAGCGAGGCAGAAATCCATTCTTCTTCAGGTCATGCCTGAGTTTCTTCTCCCTAATCGCCAATTGATCTCTGATTGACTTGAAACTTGCGCCTATGCTTCACTTTATGTACTAGGGCCTAAAATGTGACAAAGGAACACAACCTAGCATAAAATAGGCCAAAGAAGCGATAATGCAAGCTTAAACGATCAAGAAACAAAGGGGAAAACATGTGCAAATATCGAGTCATCAGTGGATGACAAGTCTGTCGAAGAGTAGTCCCACGAACTTCAGAAAATAGCTCACGAGATCGTCTCTGAAGGTATGCCTCTGGACGATCAATTTCAAGTTGCTTGCATTATTGATAAGCTGCCCCCTTCGTGGAAAGATTTTAAGAATATGCTTAGACATAAAACCAAAGAATTTTCACTGGAAAGTTTGATTACTCGCCTAAGGATTGAGGAAGAGTCCCGCAAGCAGGATATGAAAGAAGAGGTGATGGTCGTCACTGCTAAACGACCCACCCCTAGAGCTCTTAAACCTAACCAGAAAGGGTTTAAGGGTAAGAACCAGCAGGTCCGCCCCCACCAGAATGGTGCCTCTCGAGGTAACCAAAGGGTCATGGCCCAAACCTCTAAGAATGACCCACCGTTTATCTGCTTTAACTGCGGAAAACCGGGTCATATGGCAAAAAAGTGCAGGAACAAGAATAACCCCGCCGCTGCGGCCAGGGTTAACTTGACAGAAGAGGATTTGGTAGCCATGATCACAGATATGATCGCTGAAGTTTACCTCACTGGTGAGTCAGAAGGATGGTGGCTGGATACAGGTGCATCGAAGCATGTATGCAACAATCGTGCTATGTTTAAAACATATGAAGAAGCACCTGCTGACAAGAAAGTGTTGTTGGGGACTACTCGCACCACTATGGTTGCTGGTTCTGGTGAAGTGGAGCTGAACTTCACCTCTGGGAAGAAGATGGTGCTCAAGGATGTGTTGCACACTCCAGAGATAAGAAAGAATCTTGTTTCGGGATATCTTCTTAATAAGGTTGGGTTTAATCAATCTATTGGGGCAGACTTGTATACCCTTACTAAGAATGGGAGTTTTGTGGGAAAGGGATATGCATGTAATGGGATGTTTAAGTTGAATGTCGAAATTAATAAGATGAATTCTTCAGTTTACATGGTGTGTGATTTGAACGTTTGGCATGCTCGTCTTTGTCATGTGAACACACGAATTGTGAAGAATTTAAGCAAACTAGGACATATCCCTAAACTCTCAATGAATGATTTTGATAAATGTGATTTCTGTAGCCAAGCTAAAATAACGAAAACGCCCCATAAATCTGTGAGTAGAGAATCAGAACCCTTAGATCTGATTCATTCTGATATTTGTGAACTAGATGGGACGTTAACTAGGTCTGGCAAGAGATACTTTATCACTTTCATAGATGATTGCTCTGATTATTGCTTTGTTTATTTGATGAAAAACAAAAGTGAAGCCCTTGACATGTTCAAGGTATTTGTGGTTGAATTCGAAAATCAGTGCAATCGAAAGATAAAAAGACTTAGGAGCGATAGAGGATCAGAGTATGACTCTAATCCCTTCAAGGAATTCTATAGCTCACATGGTATCATTCATGAAACCACGGCACCATATTCACCAGAAATGAATGGTAAGGCTGAGCGGAAAAATAGGACATTTACAGAATTAGTTTTGGCTATTATGCTCAATTCTGGAGCTGCTTCTTCTTGGTGGGGTGATATTTTGTTGACGGTTTGCTATGTGCTAAATCGTCTTCCAAAAACAAATAGAAAAGAATCACCCTATGAGATCTTGAAGAATAAGCCACCTAATCTGTCCTATTTAAGAACGTGGGGCTGTTTGGCCTACGTAAGAATTCCTGATCCTAAGAGGGTTAAGTTGGCTAGTCGAGCATATGAATGTGTCTTCGTTGGCTATGCGGCCAATAGTAAGGCATATAGATTCTATGATTTGAATGCTCGTACAGTAATAGAATCCATTGATGCTGATTTCTTTGAGACACGATTTCCATTTAAAACGAGAAATAGTGGGGGTAATGTACTACCCGCTATTAGAGATAACGGAACAAGTGGGGGTGTTGGATCTGAGGAGGAACTCAGAAGAAGTAAAAGAGCTAGAATCTCTAAAGATTTTGGTGATGACTTTACTACAGTATACACCCTAGAGGATCCAAAAAGTTTGCAGGAAGCATTAACTTCCATAGATGCAGACTTTTGGAATGAGGCCGTTATAGATGAAATGGAATCGTTAGAGGCTAATAAGACTTGGCATCTAACAGACTTACCTCCTGGCTGCAAAGTCTTAGGTAATAAATGGGTTCTAAAAACGAAACGGAAACCTGATGGTGCAATCGAAAGGTTCCGAGCTCGCCTAGTAGTCAAGGGCTACAGGCAGAGAGAGAATATAGATTTCTTCGACACCTATTCACCAGTATCTAGAATAACATCCATTCGTGTCATGATTGCTCTTGCTGCCTTGAACAATCTCGTGGTACACCAAATGGATGTTAAGACTGCTTTTTTGAACGGTGATCTAGATGAAGAAATCTATATGGAACAACCAGAAGGGTTTGTTATCCCTGAACATGCCTCGAAAGTCTGTAAGTTGGACAAATCATTATATGGTTTGAAACAGGCTCCAAAACAGTGGCATGAGAAGTTTGACACTCTCGTTCTCTCACATGGCTTTAAGGTGAATGAAAGTGACAAGTGTATTTACTGCAAGTCAGAGAATAACACTTGCACTATCATATGTTTGTATGTAGATGACATGTTGATATTTGGTACAAATATTCACGTGGTCAATGAAGCGAAAGCCATGTTAAAAGAGAGCTTTGAGGTGAAAGATCTGGGAGAAGCAAAGTTTATGCTTGGAATCCAGATAACTAGAACAGCAAATGGTTATTCTCTAGATGAATCTAGTTACATAGAGAAGATCTTGAAGAAGTATAACTATTTCGACTGTAAACCTGTGTGTACTCCGTATGATGCTAGTGTAAAGCTATTCAAGAACACTGGAGACAGTATAAGACAAACAGAATATGCTAGCATCATTGGCAGTCTCCGTTATGCTGCGGATTACACTCGACCAGACATTGCATATGTCGTGGGATTGCTTGGCAGGTTTAACAGCTGTCCTAGTAGAGAGCATTGGAATGCTATAGAGAGGGTCATGAGATACCTCAAGAGAACAGCAAACCTTGGTATACACTATCAAAGGTTTCCCGCTGTACTAGAAGGGTATAGTGATGCGGATTGGAATACCCTATCAGATGACTCCAAGGCAACCAGCGGATATGTTTTTAACATCGCTGGTGGAGCTGTGTCTTGGAAGTCAAAGAAACAAACAATCCTAGCTCAATCAACTATGGAATCAGAGATGATAGCACTAGCAACGGCTAGTGAAGAAGCAAGTTGGTTGAGAGGATTATTGTCAGAGATTCCCCTATGGGAAAGCCCGGTCCCTCCGGTATTGATACATTGTGATAGTACCGCAGCTATCGCTAAAGTTGAGAACCGGTTCTATAACGGAAAGAAACGACAGATTCGTCGTAAGCACAGTACTGTTAGAGAACTCCTAACGATAGGAGCAGTGAGGGTGGATCATATAAGATCCGAACAGAATCTAGCTGATCCTTTGACGAAAGGATTACCTAGAGAGAAAGTCCAGAATACCGCCAAGGGTATGGGACTTATGCCTACCGAACCACGGACTACAAGTGATGGTAACCCGACCCAATAGACTGGAGATCCCAAGAAATGGGTTCAATGGGTAATAACAAGTCATGAGTAGTATGCGAAAAGTTCATGCATAATGAAGCATGAATCCCAAAGCAATGGAGGTTGAGTTAATAACTCTTAATGAGATCTATACCCTATGTGGGGTGGAGTACTTTACTTTGGGGGTACTCCTGATAGACTCACCTATGTGAATGTGGGAGTGGGGCCGCTCCCTATGGAACTTTGAGAGGCACAAAGTTGCTAGAGCGTTCACTAAACCAGGATAACGTGCATGGCCATAAACGCACGGGCTAAGAAGAGAACACAACTCAATGAAAAGATCCGGTGTGCTACACTGTCTGAGATAGGGTTCAAGACTACGAGTCACCCTTATGAAATCGGAAGTGTAACCACTACGCTAAGGTTCAAATCTTCGCGATACCTTAGCTTATGCCCGATCTTATGGAACTGTTAATGCTCAGAGATAGTTTCAAAACTATTCAAGTGGGGGATTGTTGGAAATGTGTATGAATAGCTTTGAAAGCTATAGAGTCTCAAGTGGAAAAACTACCACATTGGTAGTTTTACTTGGTGAAATGAGTATAAAGATAGGAGCCTCTCTCCTAAGGGCATGCCCCTTGGGGTGACCCACTTTTGTGGGAGAGGGAGGACCTAACGGACCACCACACACACGCGCGCATTGCTGGCACGTCAGAGACCCATGAGGACTTGAAGTTCCCTTCTTCGTCCTTGAAATGCTCCAAAATGTCTGCGCGCCACGATTCACGTACATCATCAGGGTGTACGTACATACACAACAGTACTCAACTTGTTAGCATGATGCTAATTAATACGTACTAAATAGCTCCAACCAATATGAATATTTTTATTTGTAACTACGTACGTACGTACGACTTTAGAACCACCAATTTTAATTACCTGGGGAGACATGAAAGCCCTTTTGTCTGAGGAGACGGAACCAGAGGGCAGCTGAGTTGAGATCATTAGCAACGGATTCGGAAACGGGAGACGACGACATCATCATGTTCGATAACTCAGCTTCGATCTCACTCTCGAAGTGGTAACCCAGACCTAAGCGCTGAACAGCGTCAATTAATCGCAATTTCTGACAAGCTTGATCGACTGTTGCAGCAGTAGCATTCAACATCTTTCTTACTTGTTTTTTCAACTCTTCATGTTGAAGTTCAACCGTTGATGCATGCTCACACTGGAGGAAGAAGCGTAAAATCGTTATTGGAAAGTTATAACAAACATATATAAACAACGATTAAAGCGACGACGTAACTGTTATTGGCAACGGATCAAAAGGTCTCATGCATGCACTATGGGTACGTAGCAGCAGTGATCAGTTAGTTTAATTTAATTATATTTAGAGCTAATTAAGAAGAACTTAATTATATTAACGAACCTTGAGGGTGAGGAAATCATGATCAACCCACAAAGTGGGAAGATAAGTAGCAGCCGCAGCCGCAGCCGCAGGCCCAAACGCCGGCGGTGCTGTTCCTTGTTTAGGAGCTCCCGCAGAGGCGATCAACTGTGGCACAGACGACATAGCTAGGTTCCGGCGATACTCTGGATGCTGCAGCAGTGGAGCTAATATAATCGCTGATCGATATTTGCGGTATTTAATTTGTTGTATTTATAGAGGCCAGGCACAGGCAGTTCACCCAAACCCCATGTTTAATTTCATTATTTCTATATATGTATATAGATTAATTATCGACGAGTCCACGTGAACCTCTCCCAATTATATAATTTTGTTAGGGTGGCTGAAATTGACTAAAAATCAGAACCCAATTTTTTAATTTTCTTAGGGGGGCTGAAATTGACTAAAAATCAGAACCCGGCCAATTATATAATTTTGTTAGGGAGGCTGAAATTGACCACAATCAATCAGACCCCAAATATATAATTTTGTTATATTTCAAAATCCCCAAATTTTAACGTTATCTCATACATGTGCATATATTGCCAACTAGGTTTTTCTTTGCCCGCGCTCTGCGCAGGGATGGGTGGAACAATTAAGATATTGTATTTTGATGTATATATAAGCTTGATCCTATTGAGGTTCTATTCTAAGATCATCGATAGTTGTTCAGGCTGAAATAGCATGTACATTTGTTTCATATCGATCCCAGAAAAGCTACAAAATTTGTGATATACCATCCATTAATGGAATACACATGCCTTGGCTTCTTAGAGCCATATAATATCCTAGGAGACTTGCACAAAAGTTGCTGAGAAGCATAGTAGTAAATACACAGAAGTACATTAAGTCCTAAACTGTTTGAAATTGTCTCTGAGATAGTCAGTGCAGGTAGATGGGGAATCTGTGCCTGATAGTTATTTGTACAATAATTTCCAAGGAAACTGATGATCACTTGTCAAAGGTTGAGGTGTTCCACAATGTTGCCACTCTTATTTGTATGCGAGCTGGAGGATCTGTGGAGTTCATATTTGGCCACCCAATGTATAATTGTCCTGCAAACACCTTCGCACAATTTTTGTCAATCATTGTTTTGATTGTTTCCTTCTCCAGCTTGCGATATCTTCCAGGTGACATACAAATGATTGACAGAGCTGCCTCATGATCCATTATGACCTCCACTTCACCTGAATCGTCACGTAACATTGCTTGAATTTTATAGTGGGGTCTTACAATTAGAACAAATGTGTTAGTTATGTTGAAAATGTTTTCAAAGTCAAAGTCAAAGTTTGTGCAGATGTAGTGGAACTTACTCTGGCCTTTCCTGGGTGGTTCTGCAAATGCTCCTTCGGTACCAAACTTGAGGGATAGTAAATTTGCAACGATAAAGGATCTGTAATATTTTTTTGTCAAGTAGGAGTGATTAGAGAACTTAGTTTTCATTTTATCTTATCTATGGAGCTGCTTAAGGGTGGCAACGTACCTTTTGAGCAGTTGGCTGACCACCAAGTTTTGCTTTGATCTCACTCAGAGTCTTCTTTGGAGGTTGTTCAGAATGCAGGTACCCGATCTTTTCCTTTGTGATTGGATCAAAGTAAGTCACTGGTTTGCGTCTTGGAAGGAATCTGCAATGGTGTATAAACCACTTTGTAAGCAATGGTTTTTTACCTTTTTTAAAGATAGTACTTAAAATTTCAATCAAATATCTGTACATGTTCATGATTTCCTTGGAGGCATCTTTGTATGATCTTATGATGAGGTGACTGGCTGCTGTTGACACAAACCGATATTGATACTTCTGGTTGTCTGGAGGAGGTAAACTCATTACATTAGTTATTGTGGTGATTAGAGGAAGGTGTGACTCAACTGTCGGTGCTATCTTCAGGTATTCGATGATGTCCCAACCGCGGTAATTAACAATAGCCTTTGCACCACTGATTTTAGGAATATATAAGTAAACTTGCATATGTCTGTTCTGAATGTATTGTAATATACTTGCTGAAGTTACCTCACATCTTCCATGATCACGATGAATTCCTTAAGGGTGCCCTAACAGTTTCTGGAACTGTGACTCGTCGGATACAACCAGTGATGTCTGTAATTTTCTAATTGTCAGTGCATTTACATCTTTGTTCTAAGTGTGAAAGTAAAGTATCTAGTGGTTACCTCCATGGCAGTCATAGTTGTTTTTCTGCATTGGCACCATTGAAAAGAAGGTTGCAGGGTATAAGTCCACTGGATCCTCTGGACTGTCCTCGTCTTCTTCAACATGAGAGATAAGCTGATTAGCCTTCATCATCAGTTGTAACTCTCTTGGAACTACTCTGCCCTTTGTTTTTGCTGTGACAACTACCAGGTCATCAAGTTTATATAGGTGGCCTAATTGAAGTTTCCCATATATTTTTTCGATATCTTCCTCTTCCACATAACATTCTATCATTTGTTTCTGCAAGATTAAACATTCATAGCTCATACAGTGCCCAAACTTGTGTCATGGTAACTAACTATTTTAAATAATGGTATGGATCTGGAGTAAAACATAACGTATGGTGAGTCATTCTTTAATAATGTAAACATGTAAACAATGAACTAAATCACTTTTGTAATCTTTCATTTGTCTATAAGTTAAATGGTTGTACTCACCTTTCGATCCAGCCAAAGCATGTGCAGCGTCCTTTTCTTCCATATGTATGCCTCTCGAAACTCAAACCATGTGTTTATAAGACGAGCGACGACACTGCGGTGGTTTATTCCCAAACGTATCCCTCGAAAAGTAGCGGATGATTGGAGGGTTTCTGAAATTGTGTCAAAGACCACCAGAAATAGACAAACATAAACAGCACATTTTGTAGATGTATCTAGACGTTTAAAGGAACACCTATTGAGATGGAATGTGTTTACCTCGGCTGTTGCTGGGGACCATGCAATCTTCTATCGTGGTCGTGCATTTCTGGTGCGAAGCTTCCATGGTGGTAGGGACGTTTGTTTATGAGCTGTCTTTTTGAATTGTAAATTCTGTGAGCGGAGTTAGAAGTAGAAGGCGATTTACCTTTGTTTAGGGCTTATGTTGGTTCGTGGAGTAAACTTCAGCTGAGGATAAGAGTCTACTTCTGGAAATAGAATTTCTTTTTGTAGGGTAGTGCAGGGTCCACGACGTTAGTCAATGTTGTGAAATTGGGCCAAACCATTTATGTGGGCTGATATTTAAATTTGGCAGGGGAGGTGTATTTTCATTTGTGGCCCAAAATTGTTGTCTTGCAAAACGTTAAGGAGTCTGTCGTTTGGTGAAAACAATGTCCCCTGCTAGTTTGTTTGGTAGATACAATATTAAGGGCGGAAAGTAGTTTCTCCATGTGCCCCAAAAGATCGTTTTGTGTTCCAGATGACTCCTGCATTGTTGTAAAACGTGATTAGTCACTATCTCATAGACCATATTCATAAATTTACTTTGAGTAGAACATGAAATGTGTCGGAATAAACTTTAAGGCTTACCTTCATAATCATGGATGGAGAACTTAATTTCCTGTGATATCTGTGAATGCTTCTGAGAACACAATGTTTCTTGTGTGATTTCCTGGAACATCCTCTTCATTTGTTATCAGAAACATCAGCCCAGCTGCAGATCTGACTCTGGATACGGCCACATACAATTGGCCATGACTGAATACTGGATTCGGTAGATAAATTCCAACTTTATCTAGGGTTTGTCCCTGACTTTTGTTTATCGTCATCCCATAACATAATCGAACAGGAAATTGACGTCTCTTGAGGATGAACGTTCATTTTTTGTCCTCAATGTTGAGCACAATTCGTGATATTGCTACAGGTTTTCCATCAAAGGATCCTCCCATGATATTTCCTATGATGCTATTCTGACCCAACGACGTTATCATCAATCGTGTTCCATTGCATAAACCACTTGGGGGGCTTAGATTTCTGAGCAACATTACTGGAGTGTTAACTTTCAGTCTTATCTCGTGATCTGGCACACCATTGAACGATAAAGTATTCAGAAACTCAGTGGGATAAGTTTCACTAAATGATTCAGGGACCTCTTTATCTAGGTGCATGGAATCGGAACTGTAGTAGCAATGCCCTTCTCCTGGCAGCTATTGCAACATGTAATCATTGATTTCAGTAACAACAGCATTTGTTGGAGTCACAATCGCTCTTCCTTCTAGGTACTTTGTGCCTTTATAGCAATCTGCAAATGATTCATATATATCTTGTGTTATTGATTGAAGTGGATTTTTTCCAGGAATCACCAGAAATATTTCTGGTATCTCAATCCAGTCTGAAGGAGTGTTCGAACTAAAGGAGTTTGTATCCAACTTTCCATCTCCAAGAGCGAGAACCCATTCTCCAAATTTAAGGCCACAGGCTACTATCACATTGTTTTCTTATGAATCATTTAGTCTCATATTCTTTGAAAGTCTCAGCATCTGAAAAGAATTCCACAATGGTGATCTTGTGATTGATCCATCAACTGTCTGTTCCCTTCCTGAATCTGCAATGACAGGTAAAGTTTGCCTGAAATCTCCACCTAAAATAATTGTTTTACCCCCAAATAGTTTATGTCCTGTTCCAGACAGAGGAATCTCCATCAGATCACAAAATGTCCTGCTAATTGCCTCAAATGCATGTCGATGTGTCATTGGCGCTTCATCCCAAACAATTAATGAAGCCTGGCATATTAGTTCAGCTAAATGTGTACCCTTTTTTATAGAACATGTCGATGTGTTGTCCAAGTGGAGTGGGATCTTGAATCTAGAATGAGCAGTTGTGCCATTTGGAAGTAGTGTTGCTGCAATTCCAGATGAAGCAACAACAATCACTATTTTGGACAAACTCTTGAGCTTTGTGATTATTGCATTGTATAGGAATGTCTTTCCTGTTCCTCCGTGTCCATATAAGAAAAAGGACTTCCCTAGATTGTTGTTGATTGATAGCATCACCGATGAGAAAGCTTCAAATTGATTTGCATTGAGTGCGCAAAGCATTTCCTCAGCAGCTTGTTGTTCCTGAGTAGTGTCAAAGTTTAAATGTTGGTTTATCAGGGGATTTGAACCATCATCAGGTTGTGGATCTGTTGGTTTAGGAAGGTGTAAATGTTCGAGGGAGGAACCATAAGATCCCAATAAGGTTTCCAGTTGATGAAGCACCCAATTTCGCAGTCTCTCCTCTGAGGGCTGATATGTGTTTGAATGAAGCTGCTTTCGAAGATAATATGCATGATCTTCACCCATAAGTCTCCAAGACGACTCGAACAAAGCAGTTGGATTAGGTATTTCACAAAACATGAGCATTGAAATAAAGGTGCTCCTTATCAGATTTGGCATGCTTCAAGTTGATATTTCCTGAAGAACCTTAATCCATTCTAAAGAATCAGATAAGAGACCTAATTTTTCACACGCTTTTTCATAAGTACTGCAGAGCTCTCCTCGAACAGTCCTTAAGTCATTAAAGCTGGTTGCTCCTTGTACCTTTGTCAACAATAGTCTAAGGAAAAAGACATCACTGCTTCCTGGAGGAACATAAGCAATTCTTCCAATGGCAAATCCTCTTTTCCTCAATGTCCTCTCATTGTATTCTTCATCCCATGTGTATGAACCTGGTATCTGAGCATACGTCAGCTTTCTAGCATCAGGGTCCTGTCTATTAAGTTGAAACCAAGCTGTCAGATGTGTTTTGCCAGCTCTGGGATTCTTCAAAATGTTTTTCACACTTGATTGCCTCTTATAAGGAACATTTTGTTGCCCTTGCAAGTGTACTGCAAGTCGGACAACATTTGGTTCCCTATGATGAATAGGATATTCATTGATTCTCCAGACTGCTTCATAAGAGGATAAGGATCTACAATCAATGAATTCTTGTATTTCAACTTTTGACTTCTTTGAATTTGTGGAGGGAACTTGTTTTGAAGTCACTGAATCTTCAGCAATAATGAGGGATCTGTCTGGTCCTTTAGTGATATACTTAAATAAGTATTTCACCAATCCTCCTTTATGACATATCTCAACATTAATGTGAGCCTGAGCTCTAACCAGTAAATTCCTGTTTTATGGAACGACATATCTATTATCCAGCATAACTTTTCCTTTTTTCACGTGTACTCCAGAATTTCTACGTCGATAGACTACATTTCCAAACTTGTCAAATGAAGTTTCAGTGCTGAATGCTTTAGGGAAGAACTTTGAACACTTCCCATCTTTCATTCAAGGTGATTTAGGGTTGTCAATTCCACATGGTCCATGAAGCATGAACTTGACCACAGCTGCATATCCTTCTGGATCTACATGAGGATCTGGAATCTCTGCTGAAATCATCTCATCAATGTCACTAGTTGTTTTTAGTTTATCCTCTTTGGCTAACCATATCAGCATGTGTACATGAGGGAGGCCTCTTTTTTGAAATTCAACAGTATAAATAACTGGAGAAAAGAATTTGTGTATCCATTAGCACTTTGTAACACTCACTGCAAGTTTATAAAAAAATATCACGTCTATTTGAGTATTTGATAATATAACCTGCACTAACTGACACAAAACTAATGGTAGAACTAATATGCCTGTATTAGTATTTACCAACACACTCTTTGTAAATGATTACTGGGCTGAAATATGGTTCTTGAATGTCAAAATATGCATAACATAAAAGCAAGTATAAAACACTTACTTGCTATTGTTTTGCCAAAGTACGATTCTCGTTTTCATCAATGAGCTTGGTCAGTTTCATATGAAATACCCGACAAACGACCATTGGTAGCGCTTTTCCAAACCTTGATACACTTCAGATCTCAGGTCCTTTTGATGGGTTCTAAGGAATGCCAATCGATTGAGCTCTATTGTTGAAAATGCATCAACACAATAGTGTTGTAGCGCTTTTCCACTCTTGACCAACGTATGGCCTTCACCTATCCGATACTGAAGCCTAAAAGCATAGTATTCTCTTTGCGTAACAAACTTCCTGCGCATTGATGGAGGACAGAAGGAAATGTTATATGAGATTTGGGGGTGAAAACCATCCTCTCCATAAGGAAATAATAAAGGAAAGTGCAGCGCTTCAAATTTTGGATTCAAACTTGTTATTCGCTTCAATCCTCCATTTTGATAATCTACAATGATATCTCTGTCTTCTCTATCGGGAACAAAATCTCCCGGTATCAAGGCTGCAACATCACTGCTAGTTGGAAGATCGTATTGTCGATTCCTACTTTTGATTCCAAATATTCGAAGGCGTAGATTTGGTGTTGAAGACAATTGTAGATTCTGCCGGATGCGTCTAAATGTCTTCACCAATTCATTTGTTTCATCAAGCATCCTGAGTAAAGATGCCAGTAACTCAGGTAACAACACCTCTTCTCGAGTTGAAAAGTTTGCTAATCTATTGTCAACCTCACTATCAGGTTCAAAGATATATAGCTGAGCAAACTTTGGTCGTTCTCCTTCAACTGGCAGCAAGGAACCAATTCTATGATAGTTCTCTCCGCAAATCACCATCGAATAAGGTCCTCGACTTGTTAGAGATCGAGGATCCAGTTTTGCTCCAAAAGATGTGAAACATAACGACCCATTATAAGGCCTTATATTTTCTCTAAAATGCTTTGATAATGCTCCACCATTGATGTCAAGTAACTGGGCAAGAAGGGGAGGTGGCTGCTTCAATAATGGGAGCTTCACTCTTCCTTTTTGACAACACAGAGTATACTCCGGAGTTGCTGTCTTTCTATGACGATCCAATCGTTCATAGTACCAAAACAATGCCCCACAGAACCGACAAACACATTCTGGTTTTCCAACATTCAGTATATCATTATGCAGTGGTTTTCTTGCAGTGCAAACCTCTTTGCTGGCAAAGCCAGATTTCTTCTTCGGCCCATTACTTGGAGGATTCTGCCTTGAGGTTTGACCTTCCATGTGTGTTGTGTAAGGGTCCCTAGGAGTTGTAA